AAGCCCGATGGTGAGGCGATGAGTCATCCCTGAGCTAGAGCCTGATGAAGCTGCATGTGGTGATGAGTCATCCCTGTGCTAGGCTCCTGCCAGTCCTCAAGCCAGGGGCTGGTCCAGTGATTCTCAGGGACCATCCCCATCACAATTTCTGCCAGTTTGAGCAGACTGATCCTGGTCAGGCTCAATGGCCAAGGTGGATTTCATAATGCCAGCTGGTACCCTCTACAAGCAAAATGACATTTCCAGGCTCCCCCACCACTGAGATGGCAGAGCTAGTTCAAGGTCTCCAGAATCAAGGGGCCCAGCTACAATGGGAAAACATCTTCCTAGGATCACAGATCCCAGTAGTCCCGGGCCCCCTTGTGCCGTCAGCGAAAAGAGCCCAAGATCTAGGACCAAAGCTCCCATTACCAGAGAGCTGATGGGAACCATTGGAAGTTTCAGGATTTCTCAAGCAATATCACCTACTGTTCCTGGTGATGTTCTACCCAAAGAACCAAACCAGAGTAGGGATTGTCATAAGCTTATTGAGAGGCAAAGCACTGGATTGGGCATTGCCACTCCTTGGGGGCAGGGGATGGGACACAATTCTCAATGACTTTGATGAATTTGTGTTTTTTCACTCATGTTTGATGACCCAAACTCTGCCCGCTCTGCCGTTATTGAGACAAGGCCCCTGTTGCAGCCTACGCCACCCACTTCTGTCCCCAGGTAGCTGACAAAGCCTGGAATGAAGCAGTGCAGCTTTACCACTTCGGGCTAGGCTTGAAGGATGAGATTAAAAATGTGATATCTACCAATGTGATATATTCCATCATGTGCCAGCAATGCCCCTCTGCCATGTACATTGGCCAAACCGGACAGTCTCTACGCAAAAGAATAAATGGACCCAAATCTGACATCAAGAATTATAACATTCAAAAACCAGTAGGAGAACACTTCAATCTCCTTGGACACTCAATAATAGACTTAAAAGTGGCATTTCTTCAACAAAAAAACTTCAAAAACAGACTCCAACAAGAAACTGCAGAACTGGAATTAATTTGCAAACTGAACACCATTAAATTAGGCCTGAATAAAGACTGGGAGTGGATGGGTCACTACAAAAACTAATTTCCCCCTGCTGATACTCACACCTTCTTGTCAACTGTTTGAAATGGGCCACCTTAATTACATTGGCCTCATTAGCACTACAAACGTGATTGTTGAGAATAGCCCACTTCCACCTTAATTGAATTGGCTCGTTAGCAGTGACCCCCCACTTGGTAAGGCAACTCTCATCTTTTCATATGCTGTGTATTTATACCTCCCTACTGTATTTTCCACTCCATGCATCTGATGAAGTGGGTGTTAGCCCACGAAAGCTTATGCCCAAATAAATTTGTTAGTCTCGAAGGTGCCACAAGGACTCCTCGTTGTTTTTATTAAAAATGAACTGGCCCAGGTCGACCCCCACCACTGCATTGTTCCCCTTCATTGACTTGTGTTGTGTATCCAAATTGACAATCGACAGTTCGATGCCAGGAAAGAAGGAAGGTGTGTGCTCAGCCCCACCTGGCCCTGCCCTATTCCTGTCCCCCTTCCCCCATGCAATCACTGGACCTGAACCCATGCAGGTAGACATGACATGAACGTGACCTCAGATCAAGAAAAGGAATAGCATTTTCTTAATGGCCTATGCCTGTACAGTGGAGAACAAGGCCACTTTGCCATCAGGTGCTCCCTGAAGTCCTGTCCCATGGGTAGTCTGGGAAAACAGGCAGGTCCAGCCTCATGCGAGGGGACGTGGCTGGCCAGAACGACAGACCCTCTCTGCTACCTATCCTAACGGCCGCAGACAATGGCCAATCTCACTTTCTGATCAAGCTCCGACTTTGAGGCCTGTCTACACCCAAAGCAAGCTGCACACAGCTCGCACTGATAGATTCTGGAGCCTCTGGTAATTTCATGGACACTAAATTTGCTAAACAAACCACCTGCTGGTGCAAAGGAAGCTTATCCACAACTTGGTGGAGGCAATCAATGGCAGCTTGCTGTCCTCGAGCCTGGTCATCTCTGAGACACCCCTCCAAGTTCAACAAGGAGATCTGTTAGTCTTTAAGGTGCCACCAGACTCCTTGTTGTTTTTGTAGATACAGACTAACACGGCTACCCCGATACTTGACACCCTCCAAGTTGCAATTCAAGACCACACTACATTGGGGAAGAGTCAGCATGGCTTTTGAAAGGGAAATCACGTCTCACCGATCTACTAGATTTCTTTGAGGGGGGCCACAAACGTGGACAAGGATGATCTAGTGGATATAGTATATTCAGACTTCCAAAAAGCCTTTGACAAGATCCCTCACCAAAGGCTCTTAAGCAAAGTAAAACAGTCATGGGTGTAAGAGGAAAGGTCCTCCCATGGAGCAGTTAGTGATTACAAGATAGGAAACAAAGGGTAGGAATGAATGTCAGTTTTCACAGTGGAGAGAGGTAAACAGTGGGGTCCCTGAAGGATCTGTACTGGCACGAGTTCTGTTCAAAGCACTTTCCAAAGGACGTCAGCATTATCATCCCCGTTTTACAGATAGGTAAACTGAGGCACAGAGAGGGGAAGGGACTTGGCCAAGGTCACCCAGCAGGTAAGTGGCAGGATAGAACCCAGGTCTGTTGAGTCATGGTCCAGTGTGCTCTCCCCTAGGCCACACTGCCTTTAGGGGCAAAGGACGTTAACTCTCCTGGGGGATGAGACAGAGACTGGAAGGCAGGCTCTTGGTGCGTAAAAGAAGGATCAGACTCTTCTGTTTTAAAATACATGGAGCTTGATTCTTCTCACCTTTACCATAGGTGAAAATGAGGATTTCAAACAGTGCAAAGGAGATCGGAGTCAGGCGGACAGACTGGTAAATGGTTCAGCCTCCATATGGATTCTGTTACTGATTTGGGATCCAAACTGAATTGATTTATTGTAACGGAATCACATCTGTTCTCCTTGTACATTATACGTAATGTATGCTGCTCGGGATAAGCCACGCCCCAAGTGAAGCCTAATGATACGTTCTCTGCTGTTGTAATGAATGAGCAGAGTGCCCGTTTGATAATTAAACAAATGGAATCATGATGAACCCACAGCCGCTGGTGGTGGACTTTCCTTGTGCACCAAGAGCTCAATCAAGGGAATCGGACACAACTCCCCCCTTGCTTTCTGAACTGACGCTTTTTAAAAAACACGCACATGCTCACAAGAAAGGCGCAAACAGACACAAGGAGGGTGGGAACTGCACATTCATTGGACTGATGAAATCTTAATGCTCTTATTTACTCTGGTCTTTGCAGCTACCCTTCCAACACCACGAAATCATATTCAGTTTCTCCCAAGGGGTGGGTAAAGGGTTAAGTGGAAGTCATCAAGGCTCCCCAAAAGTGGAAGAAGTGGGGAAATGTAAGAAGTTTAGAGAAAAGGGATGAAAGCTGAAAAATCAGATTTCAAACACTGCAGAGGGTTGGAGGTGCTTTGATCTGGGGGATTTGTGCAGACTCAGATCTTGAAGTGAATTTGAGGTTGTGGAGATTTCTAAGGGTGAGAATGGAAGTGTAGTGGGGACTGCTGACCTGAGAAAATTTTAGGAAACCCCTTTCTTTTTCTGGATCCGTGGCAGGTCTGAATGGAGTGAAATGCAAGCAGGACTGAACCTTACAGCATTTATTAGAGAAATTACACAGTTTGCTTCAAGTTTGTCATAAAAAAATAAAACCTCTTTCAACAGGGGCATTAAACATAAATGAACAATATATACATGTCCATTCCGTACTCCAGCAGCTCCAGGGGCTAGTCCATTTCCGCCTCTCTTTGGGCCTTGTATTCCTTTACGCTCGCCTGCAAATGAGATCAAATGACCAATGTCAATGCTGTATGTTTGATTAATTAAAACACAGCCAGGCCCATGCCCACACCTGAGGAGCTTTGAGAGGCTCTCTGGTTCTGAACATACTGTCCCAGGCAGAGTAAGACAAGAAAAGTGCAACATTTTAATGTGGCTGAGGCTCCTGCTTGAAAAGGCTGGAGGGTCTAGGAGGACCGAAGGGTGGGGAAGGAAACTGATGAACTTTAGGTGCTCTGAGAAATGGTTGCATTTTATTTCTGATCACAGCCTTGGATCACTGTAAGGGAGGTGAGGCAGCGCCCCCAGGAGTAGCCCTGAGATCTGCCTGCCTATTGACACAGATTCTTTACGGATTACAGCAGCATGTTTGAAAGAGAACAAATTCAGGGCCCATTTTTGACCCCACTGAGGTCACTGCCACTGCATCAGGCCCTTCCTTCAAAGAGCACAGGTCCACATTCGTTAGGGTTGGGGGGAGCAGATTATTACACCAGCTTATTGCTGATTGATCCCAAACTTATATTCGTAGCCCTGCTGCATCCAGGTTCCATATGCACCACTTACACCCAAGCCACCCTTCACACTGGCATTCTTACGCCCCTACCACACCAAATTGTCTCTATGATGCACTAGCTGCTCTCTGCCACAAACAGGATTACTGAGGCTCTGGTGGCTTTCCAAATCCTATCCCCCCGGTATGGTAGAAAAAACACCTCTTCCAAGATGATGGGGAAACCCCTTGGATGTGGAATGCAGATTTGTGCATTCTCTGCGCTTCACTTTACACTGCAGTAAAATGTAACTAACAGGGTGAAATAGCAATATTTTGCATTTAACTTGTACAGCAACTTTCATCTGAGGATCCCAAAGCACTCTACAAACACTGCTTGCTTCTCAGAACCCCCCTTTTAGAGGCAGGCGAAGTGTCATTTTAGAGATGGGGAAACCGAGTCACACAGAGGTGAAGTGACTTCCCCAAGGTCACACAGCGATTCAGTGTCAGAGCTGGTCAGAGAGCCCAAGTCTGCTGACTCCCAGTTCCACTTCTCTAACTACTACAACTGGCTGCCTCCAAATATGTGCAGATCTTGCAAGAAGAGCGAGGGGGGGATCGGTTAACATCTGCAGCCATGGACATGTTAGTGCCTCTGTCATTCAATCAATGCAGCCAGCTATTTCTCTCCTTCACAGACCACAGAGAGGAGGAGCCCAGAGTCATTCTACCATGAAGCAGTTACCTCACCTCAAACTTGCTAAGCACGTGCTGGCAGACGTCCACCAGTTCTGTCAGTCCTTTCCGGAATGGCTCAATGGCCAGGATCCCCCCTTCAGAAAAGGAGAAGCATTCACAGAAAATGTGGCTGGCTCCACTATTGGACATGGGGCCCTTCCCCTCCTAACCCAGCTCAGTGGTGACCAACCATCATACACCTCTTTGGCAGCCCCTGTGATGAGGTGAGGATCTTAGGCCAGCATCCACGTCATGCTCCCTCCCACTCCCATCAGCAGTCTGAGAAGATCATACAAGGACGGAATGGAGGCTTGAAATGGTGTCTCAGAGCCCCAAGTCCAGGCTGAAGCCCTTTGGCAGGGGACAGCATAGGGGAAGCTTGCCCTGCAGTTTGTGCTGTGGACAGACATAGGGCTCCGCTCTCCCGGACCAGCAATCCAGCACTTTGCAGTACTGCTAAATTCTTCAAAAAATTAAAAAGCCATCTAGCACAACTTGGCCATTTCCAGTGGCTCTGCTCTTCTACGCAACCGACACTCAAGGCCATAGGAGAGCGGACCTGTGAGCTGGGAACCAAGTTAGAGGCTCTGGCTGGGTTCTACAAACTATTCAGAGGGAAAATTGTGAGATAGGTATAGAAATGGAGCCGCTCATCAGCCTCATACTCTTGCAATGGCAGATACAGTCCCAGGCGAGTCCTGAAGGCTGCCCTTTGGTGTGGACATCAGGATAGGATGAGGGGAACACAGAGTATGGCACCTGGAGGGCACCCTGCTGCATAGAGCACTTGCGGTGCTATTCACCCCAGGAATTAGCAATATCTGCCCATCGAGCTGTGTAACAGACTGGATCTGTTGTTTAGTGTGTAATGTAACAAGTTTTGTGTGAAGCTCTAACTTGGAGGGGGCACCCGGGAGCTAACTAGGGGGTGATGCCAGGTGGGATGCCCAGGGCTGAGTGAGGCTTTGGGACCACAACTCCCCAGGCTTGCCGATTACTACAGAGGCCACGTCTGGGCTCTGCAGTGGGGGATGACGGAGACCAGCTCTATCATTGCTACTCAAGCTGCACTGATCATGGATGGTGATTGCAAATGCCCTGTAGAATGCTGGAATCAACGACACGCAGAGGGAGGGGGAAAGACTTCACAGGCTGGCAGATCCATGGTTTCAGGGCCTGACATGGCAAGGGACAGCTGACCAGGGAAGCCCAGTTGCATTCCTACCTCTGGTCTGGATCCGGAAGTTGATTTTGCTTTCAGATGGGTGGGTGATGCTGTAACCACAAAACTCCACTTCAGAGCTACAGGAGAGACAGAAGCAGGAAGCACAAGTGGGCTCTCAGAATCAGCAGAAAGCCAACTGCAGAGACACTCATGTTTAGGAAGCCTCTGAAGCAAGCAGACCTGCGATGCATCTTGGTCCCACATGTTTCAAAAGCAATCACTTTCCATTACCCACAGCTCTGTGAGAGAGGCGTGCAGAGGAAAAGGTGTGCCTCTGTGGGGTGGGCTGGATCCTAAAGTGGGTGGGGTATGGAACAAGATAAACATCCCCTGCCTTTTCTATGTTGTGGATGGATTTCACGCCTGCCCAGACCCAAACTTGAGACCAGTCAAGTGGTTGCCCTGGCTTTAGCAGCTGAAAGAAAGCATGGCCTAAAGGTTACAGCACTGGTTTGCTGATGGTGATTTATCATGAGCAGCTTACAAGACTATCACAATTTGTCCTTTGAAATTATCAAATGAAAAACCCCCTTCTGGAATACTTCTAGAGCTGGAACTCATGACAAGAAGTTCCTCATAAATATTCACTACTGGATAGTTTGGATAGGGTCATGTAAGTCGTGAGATACTATTCTTTTGACTGCATGAGCATACGAATCAGGCTCCCTGTGCGAATATTTGTGTTTGCAAGTTCAAAATAAGTTTCTCTAATACTCACTTGAACACTGGCTGTTTCCACTTCCAGGCCTGACTGTAAACTTGTTCCCAAAGGGGCAGAGATGCAGTCAAAGTGCATTTGTTTAAAGAACCCAAGTATGGAGATTTGCAATATTCATCCGGCTTCAGAAGTACCAGAGGTGCTAGATCAAAAGTCTGGGGACAGCAAACATAGCCCTGAGGTGGTACCAGTTATCACAGGGACTCCACTTACTTTTTCATGATCATGTAACGGAGAGAGTTGCCAAATGTGTGGTCCTCATCATGTAACACAAATGTGACGCAGTTTCCATCCGTCCCATCTGCCTGGACCTGCCAGAGACAGGAAAGCAAGAGGAGCACAAGAATATGGTTATATCTCCAGATGATTTAAACTCCTCCTGAAGTAATTAAGGCCAGGCCTACACTAGAAAAATGACTCACTTCTGATGACTGGTGTCAGCAACAGGTTCACCCATCCATGGTATGACTGTAAACATAGACCTGGACAACTAGGTTCATCACTGTTCATCTATGTTCATCATTGTGTTAGAAAACAGCGGTTGAGATTTACCAAGAGCTTGTTTTTGGAGAAATGCCACAGCTGGAGTATGGGCCTACCACATAAATCTGGAGTGAAAAAAAATATAAAGCCAGAGCCTTCCTCTTAGAATCCAGGGATTTTTAGGCTGCCAGATAGATGAAGGCTAGATATACTGCACGATAGAAAAGCTGGGAATTATTATTATATGCACAGTCAAAGGGTTAGTGTTATCTTAGGTTCTGATCCTTCCATTCCTTGCACACCCAAAGGTCCCAGCCTTCAAAGGGAATTTTGGGACCATGAGTACAAGATCCCACCCTCAACGACCTTTAATACCAAGCCGTTCTTGGATCACATTAACCGGGAGTCACATTCCAGACCCAACAATAGACTCATAGACTTTAAGGTCAGAAGGGACCATTATGATCTTCTAGTCTGACCTCCTGCATAATGCAGGCCACAGAATCTCACCCACCCACTCCTGTAACAACCCCCTGCCCTATGTCTTAGCTATTGAAGTCCTCAACTTGTGGTTTAAAGACTTCAAGGTGCAGAGAATCCTCCAGCAAGTGACCTGTGCCCCACGCTGCAAAGAAAGGCGAAAAAACCCCAGGCCCTCTGCCAATCTGCCCTGGAGGAAAATTCCTTTCCAACCCCAAATATGGGCAAGACTCACCAGCCAGACACCCAGGAAAGAATTCTCTGTAGTAACTCAGATCCCACCCCATCTAACATCCCATCACAAGCCATTGGGCATATTTACTGCTAATAGTCAAAGATCAATTAATTGCCAAAATTAGGCTATCCCATCGTATCCCTTCCATAAACTTATCAAGCTTAGTCTTGAAGCCAGATATGTCTTTTGCCTCCACTGCTCCCCTTGGAAGGCTATTCCAGAACTTCACTCCTCTGATGGTTAGAAACCTTCGTCTAATTTCAAGTCTAAACTTCCTGATGGCCAGTTTATATCCATTTGTTCTTGTATCCATATTGGTACTAAGCTTAAATAATTCCTCTCACTCCCTGATATTTATCCCTCTGATATATTTATAGAGAGCAATCATATCTCCCCTCAGCCTTCTTTTGGTTGGGTTAAACAAGCCAAGCTCTTTGAGTCTCCTTTCATAAGACAGGTTTTCCATTCCTCGGATCATCCTAGTAGCCCTTCTCTGTACCTGTTACAGTTTGAATTCATCCTTCTTAAACATGGGAGACCAGAACTGCACACAATATTCCAGATGAGATCTAACCAGTGCCTTGTATAATGGTACTAACACCTCCTTATCTCTACTGGAAATACCTCGCCTGATGCATCCCAAGACCGCATTAGCTTTTTTCACAGCCATATCACATTGGCGGCTCATAGTCATCCTGTGATCAACAAATACTCCGAGGTCCTTCTCCTCCTCTGTTACTTCCAATTGATGTGTCCCCAGTTTATAACAAGAATTCTTGTTATTAATCCCTAAATGCATGACCTTGCACTTTTCACTATTAAATTTCATCCTATTACTATTACTCCAGTTTACAAGGTCATCCAGATCTTCCTGTATGATATCCCGGTTCTTCTCTGTATTGGCAATACCTCCCAGCTTCGTGTCATCCGCAAACTTTATTAGTACATTCCCAGTTTTTGTGCCAAGGTCAGTAATAAAAAGATTAAATAACTGTGAGTCTGTGGAAACTGGCACCTAGAGTGTAACAAGACTCTGCTTTTTTCCACTCAAGAGAGGGGGGAAATAGTCCCAGCATCTATTGCTGCTGGAGGAGTCGTAGGGATACCAGCTGGGATCCATTGTGGGGAGAAAAAGGAGAATATCTAGGAATAATGGGATGAAATAAAAAGAAATAAGCAATGAGGTGAGACAGCAGGAAAAGCTTCCTAAAGGAGAAAGTTTGTTGTGAGGAGTCAGGCCAAGTCTACACTTACAAGCGTACAGCAGCACAGCTGCACCAATACAGCCGTGCCACTGTCAGAGCGCTCATGTAGCCACGTTATGCTGATGGGAGAGACCTCTCCCATCAACAATGAGCAGCAGTAGCTATGGCAGCAGGAGAGCTGGCGGCCACTTCTGGGACCGCGCAGAGCCAGGGAGCCTGCCTTAGCCCCGGGCCCTGCTGCGCCGCTTACCGGACTTTTAACTTTTACAACAGGCTACATAAAAAACACTAGCAAAGTCAGTACAAACTGAAATTTCATACAGACAATGACTTGTTTATACTGCTCTATATACTATACGCTGAAATGTAAGTACAATATTTATATTCCAATTGATTCATTTTATAATTATATGGTATAAATGAGAAAGTCAGCAATTTTTCAGTAACAAGTGTGCTGTGACACTTTTGTATTTTTATGTCTAATTTTGTAAGCAGGTAATTTTTAAATCATCAGCTTGGTTTTCTCTGCACTGATTTCCATGTCATATTTTGTGGAGGTTTCATCCAATCATTTCACAAGGTTGGCAAGTTCATCTTCGCTGCCTGCCAGGCCATCAATGTCATCAGCAAACCAAAGATTTCAGATTGTTCGCCCCCCAATGCTGACTGTGCATATGTGATCTTCTAGAGAATCAGTCATTACGCGCTCCAAGTAGATGTTGAACAGTGTGGGAGAAAGAAGGCAGCCTTGGTATGAAACCACTCTCCTATTGTGCCATTGATAAGAACTGCACTGCTGGCCTTGGCATACAGTTGTTTAATGGTAAGAATAAACTTACAACCAACATTGTACTTCTTCATAGTTGCCCAGAGAGCTTCGGAAGTGCCATACTCTGTCAAATACCTTCTTGAAGTCAACAAAGATTGGTAGATGTCCTGCTGGTGTTGTAAGTACTTCTCACATAGAACATGAAGGTTGAAAATCTGTTCTGTGGTACTTCTTCCAGCACGAAAGCCAGCCTGTTCTTCAGCAATGATATTCTCAGTTTGTGGCTTCAATCTGTTCAATATGACTTTCAACATCACTTTGCTGGGATGGCTAATTAAACTTATGGTCCGATAATTTTGACACAATTGCAGGTTGCCTTTCTTTGGCAGAGTGACTGTGTCCACGTGGAGGCCACTACTCTTGCAGATCTTGGTGAGTACATCTATTACACTATTTCTCCTCTGAATTTCATCAATTCGGCTGGGATGTTGTCAATACCTGTAGCCTTTCCATTCTTGAGTGATTTCACAGCCGTCTCCACTTCTTCACGTAGTATTGGAAAGTCATCCTCCTCTGTTGAATCTGGGCTGTCTAAGCTGATGACAAACAAATGTGATGGGATCAGCTCACATATCACTGTCAGTGGACTAGAGCTGGAGACAGTAAAACAGTTCAAGTATTTGGGGCAATCATCCTCATAAGTCAAGTGCTCCAGCCCCCTAATCATTTTTGTTGCCCTCCACTGGACTCTTTCCAATTTTTCCACATTCTTCTTGTAGTGTGGGGCCCAAAACTGGACACAGTACTCCAGATGAGGCCTCACCAATGCCAAATACAGGGGAATGATCATGTCCCGCGATCTGCTGGCAATGCCCCTACTTATACAGCCCAAAATGCCGTTAGCCTTCTTGACAACAAGGGCACACTGTTGACTCATATCCAGCTTCTTGTCCACTGTAACCCCTAGGTTCTTTTCTGCAGCACTGCTGCCTAGCCACTTGGTCCCTAGTCTGTAGCAGTGCATGGGATTCTTCCGTCCTAAGTGCGGGACTCTGCACTTGTCCTTGTTGAACCTCATCAGGTTTCTTTTGGCCCAATCCTCTAATTTGTCTAGGTCCTTCTGTATCCTATCCCTACTCTCCAGCGTATCTACCACTCCTCCCAGTTTAGTGTCATCTGCAAACTTGCTGAGAGTGCAGTCCACGCCATCCTCCAGATCATTAATGAAGATATTGAACAAAACCGGCCCCAGGACCGACCCAGCTTTCTATCCACCTTATAGTCCATTCATCCAGCCCATACTTCTTTAACTTGCTGGCAAGAATACTGTGGGAGAGCGTATCAAAAGCTTTGCTAAAGTCAGGGAATAACACATCAACTGCTTTCCCCTCATCCACAGACCCAGTTATCTCATCATAGAAGGCAATTAGGTTAGTCAGGCATGACTTGCCCTCGGTGAATCTATGCTGACTGTTCCTGATCACTTTCCTCTCCTCGAAGTGCTTCAGAATTGATTCCTTGAGGACCTGCTCCATGATTTTTCCAGGTACTGAGGTGAGGCTGACTGGCCTGTAGTTCCCCGGATCCTCCGTCTTCCCTTTTTTAAAGATGGGCACTACATTAGCCTTTTTCCAGTCATCCGGGACCTCCCCCGATCGCCATGAGTTTTCAGAGATAATGTCCAATGGCTCTGCAATCACATCCGCCAACTCCTTTACACCCTCGGATGCAGCGCATCCGGCCCCATGGCTTTGTGCTCATCCAGCTTTTCTAAATAGTCCTGAACCACTTCTTTCTCCACAGAGGGCTGGTAACCTCCTCCCCATGTTGTGCTGCCCAGTGCAGTAGTCTGGGAGCTGACCTTGTTCGTGAAGACAGAGGCAAAAAAAGCATTGAGTACATTAGCTTTTTCTACATCCTCTGTCACTAGGCTGCCTCCCTCATTCAGTAAGGGGCCCACACTTTCCTTGACTTTCTTCTTGTTGCTAATATACCTGAAGAAACCCTTCTTGTTACTCTTAACATCACTTGCTAGCTGCAACTCCAAGTGTGATTTGGCCTTCCTGATTTCACTCCTGCATGCCTGAGCAATATTTTTATACTCCTCCCTGGTCATTTGTCCAATCTTCCACTTCTTGT